TCCTGGAGTCCCGGGATCTAGTCCCGCATCGGGCTCCCTGCTCAGCAGGGAGTCTGCTTCTCCCTCTGACTCTCCCCCCTCTCATGTGCTCTCTCTCTCTCTCTCATTCTCTCTCTCAAATAAATAAATAAAATCTTTAAAAAAAAAGACTATAATTTGATATTAGTTATTATGTAAGCTTTTTAAGTTCATCTTCCAAATTTTATTGTATTTCTAAATCTAGCTAATTTGAAGAGTAATTTTAAATAGGGCCTAAATTAATATTTAATTTAATTTGTAAACTTGATTAAATTCATCCAAACATTTAATTTTTTTAAAAGATTTATTTATTTATTTATTTATTTATTTATTTATTTGACAGAGAGAGAGAGAGAGAGCGAGAGAGGGAACACAAGTAGGGGGAGTGAGAGAGGGAGAAGTAGGCCTCCCACTGAGCAGAGAGCCCAGTGTGGGGCTCGATCCCGGGACCCTGGGATCATGACCTGAGCCGAAGGCAGACACTTAACAACTGAGCCACCCAGGCGCCCCTCATCTAAACATTTTAAGCTCCATTTATGTTTACTGTATTCTACTTTCTTTTAAAGTGTTCAATTGTATAACCAGCAAAACCACAAACAAGATCCACAAGCACTGAATACTGTCTTTAAATATAAAAAAAAGAACCTATAAATGCAACGAACCTTACGTTTTCTTAAATGTTTTGATATTAAATATGCACTGACACAATTTAATTTTAAAATCCTGAGTCTAAATCAATATTCAATGATACCTTCTAAATGGATACCACAAGTCACTTTTTATAAAAATAGGCTGAAAATTCTAAAATATTACAAGTATATGAAAGCATGTTTAGATTTTTTCTTTTAGTATTTTATTGCCCCAAATTAATGCACTCAGTTGTGACTACATTCAGCTATTTGTAGGGCAGTTGTAGGGGGGAAAAATCATTTCTACAGATACTGAATGGTCTCACCTAGCAGAACTTAGAGCTTTCATGGCTCACCAATCTTTTAGTCCTTTGGCTTTTTACCTGCCATGTAGCAAACAGACCAGAAACCTAATTACCTATCCATACTTCCTTCTTTGTCTACATTTGTATGTTTTAATTAATTTCTTATTTCTTATCCTTTATAATGTTTCCCTAACAATTCATTGTTTTCCTTATATTCTTTATAATTTTTCTTACCAAAATTGTATTATTGTACTTTGGTGATTGCCTTTATAATTCTATATTTATTTTGTAGAATACTGAAACAACGTCTCAGTAGAATAAGAAAAAGCAAGCTATTAAGATGGATTGAGAATGCAGGGCAGGATACAAAATAGAAGAAAGCTGTTCAAAGAAAGTGTTCTAGAACTCTGCCTAGGAGTTTCTGATGTTTTGGTCCAGATGTTAACTGTGCACAAACAGGGGGAAATAATGTGAGGTCTGAAAAAGGTTGAGGGGGCTGTGAGTTGAACAGAGACTTTAGAGACCTCACCATGTTGGGAGATGTAAGATTTCTAATGATCCAGAGTGGAGAGAACATAAGGAACCACCCAGCATTTAACTGAGTTACCAGAATAGTTACATATTACAAACAAAGCTACTCGAGTCCTAGAATGAAGTCTACTGTAAAAAAAAAAAAAAACAAAAAAAAAACAAAACAGACATGCCTCAAAAAGATCAAGTTCATCTGCCAGTGTAGCAACTGCCTTCCAGAACTAAATTCAACACCCTGGTTGTCTTGAAAGGAAGACAATTCATAGTCAGACTCGCAACAATGTATCTGTAATACAAGCACATAGTTTTAAATTACTGGACATGGGAAGACATAGTAAAATGTGAGTCTCTAGCAGGCAATGGCATTAAAACGTTTATTAAAATAAGTTTTAAATATAAAGAAGAAGATACACATAACAAGTGAAAAGATGAGGAATCTAAGCAAAGCCACGGAGACTATAAAAATGAACCAAATGCAAATCCTAGAACTGAAAAAGACAATAACTGAAATGAAAAATTCACTAGGTGTGCTCAACAGCAGATTGATGCTGCAGAAGAAAAGATCACAATAGTAATTATGCAGCGCAGTAGTAATTATTCAAATTGAAACTCAGTGAGGAAAAAAAGGCTAAAAAAAGAAAATGAGCAGAGCCTTAATAACCTGTGGGACAATAACAAGCAGCTTAACATATATGAAATTGAATTCACAAAAGGAAAGAAAAGAGAGATTGGAACAGAAAATATTCAAAATATATAAAAAATTCCGAGCTTGGAATAGAAGTTGCAATAAAAGTCACCACCTCCTCTCTTGTTCTGTCCATTTTTCTTGGAATATTATTACCCCTTCCTTCCAATAGAAAGCTTCCCCCTCTACTTGTTGTGGGTAAAGAATTGCCAGACAATGTAGTAGTTTTTTTTTTCCCCCTCTCCCTTTCTCTTTTGTTTCTTATCATGTAGGTCTTCCTCTCTGGCTCACTTGATAATCCTTATTGAACTCCTGTTTTTTTTTACATTTAAGGTCAACATCTGATATAGGAACTGCAATTGCAGTTGCCATCTTATTAAATTTAAAATAGTCCATAACCCATTGCCATTTTCCAAACTCATCTGTCTTTTGTGCCGGTTAAATTGGAGAATTCAAAGTCGATGTGACAGGAACCCCAACCGTGCATTTTTCAAGTCTCCGATAGTGTCACTAATCTCTGTTATTTCCCTAGCTACACAGAATTGCTTTTGGTTTAATAGTTTGGTGAAGAGTGGGAGTTCCAGAAGCTTCCTTCAGCCTTGCATAACACCATATCCCTCAATCTATTGGTTAGAGAGCCCACGTGAGGATTCTGCCAGTTGCTGAAAATACCTATTTCAACTAAACACTGAAGAACTGAGGATAGGGCTATGAAGTCAGTTTGAAGACCGTATGAACTTACTAAAATGTGAACTCAGATCAAAAGTCCATGAAAGGATTTTCAGAAGCACCACCACCTGACTGAGAGCCCATGGAGGCATTCTGGATCCTCGGGAATCAAAACCACCTCAAATTCAGGGTCCAATAATACCTGAAAATTTTAATATTTTTGTTTTCCCAGTGCAGAATTGTCTGACATGTAAAGCCAGTTTGTTTGGGGGATAGTTGGTGGAAAATTTAGAATATGCACTTTAAATATTATTGGTGGGTCTTCCTTCAGGGTATTTGATTCAAGGAGCTATGTCCTGTGAATTGGTCTGGAAATGGGGTGAGGGGTCCACAATTCTCTATTTTGGTATCTCATCTCAGGCTTTTACCATGAATTTTCCCCTAATAACTAAAGCAAAGAATATTTTTTATGGATTACCTCATTTGACCCTAGAGACCTTCTAATCAGCCATTCTATGCCAATGAGACCCATCTGGTGAGCAGGCTCATCCTGATGCCTAACCTGGTTACCACTTCCACCTGGAATTCATGTCTCACTGCCACTACCTGGCATGACTAACTTCTTGTCTTCTTGTTGAAATCAACTATGGAGTCTACTATAAACATCTTTGGTATATAAAAAAATTCCACTAAATTATTTTTCAAACATGACAATACACCCCTCCCCATTTCTTGTCTTGTCTTCTTTTTAAAGGGCTGGATGAAGGGAAGGGCATCTAGGTCTTTTAAGAAGGAATAGCCTCGAAAATCTTTATTCACTATACGTCTCTGGCATCTCATCTGTATTGTGTGTGATCAAACCAAACTAGGAAACAATTCAAACTACTCACAATGGCTTGTGCTGTCATGACTAGATTCCCTGGTAAGTACACCAAAGCCTATAAATTCAGCCTTCTTAAAAATTATTTCTCCCTTCCTCACTCTGTCAACTTGGAATTCATTCTCATGTGTATTTCTCTGAGATTTGCCTACATAAATCAGCAAATTCTTGCATTTTTTCCCAAGAAAAAGCCAAAGATATGACACTGCCTATCAGCTTTAGCATCCACCTAATTTCTCTTCTATGTCTTAAAGTTGTGATGTGTCAGAACCCCCAGAGTCACACGAATATGTAGCTACATATGGCAACCATGTTTATTCACACTGTTTTATGTGCTTTGTCTTGATACCTAAATGTTGATGCTGTAGCCACTGCGAGAAATACATGGTCTGATGTAACATGTATAGCTCCCTCTTCATAGTTATCAAATAAATACTTGACCCGGTCTTTGTAAAGCATTTCAGGAGCCATTATTTATCAGTATATAAATAATATAATCACCATTTTTAGTTTTTTCATGTTTTTATTACCTCTACGTAAAAAAACCCAGTTTAATCCTGAGTTAATTTGCTCCAACGTTTTTTTGCTCAGAAGGCAGAGTCTATCTGACCAGCAGAGCAAGCTTTCAAAGTAGCTAGTTCTCCCTTAGCTTTCACTCTTTTCTCCATCTTATTTGAAAATATAAAATCCAACATCACTTTTAAGATATATACATTTGCATCATGTGGAGAAGGCTGCCCTTCTCCAAATCTGTATTACATCACATTCTTACCCTATGCTTCAGTGTAGAGAACTGCTTGCTGATTTAGGAAAGTACCATGCTACTTCCTGCTTCCTTACCTTTGAACATGCTGCCTCAGCTCTCTGGGGATGGTGGCTGCCTGTTCACCTTTAATAATCTTACATAATGACATCCCCTGACCACCTCTTAATGAGCAAGCAGCATTGAACACACTCCTTTTATGTAATGCCATGCTATATTTCAATTATTTTGCTCGTATCTTTGATCTCTCCCAGGTAAGTGCCTCTAAGGCTCTCAAAATATAGGTATATAAAGAAGTGGCTTAAGTGAAGTGGGAAAATAAGGATTAAGCAAAATTAAATAGGAAAATGAGGATTGCACCTTCTTGAGATTGTGACATTATTGCAATAAAACACATTTAAAAAAATTCAAGTAATATTTCCTAAACGTCTGCTCGCTTTCAAATCCTGATATGTGTTTTAGTCTTGCTTCTGAAGCCTAATTCAGTGGGACACAAATATGTTGGCGTCTTATGATTATGATGGTTATTCTGTTTGCCATAGTCCCAGCTGGCAAACAGCTGGAGGATGGGCGCACCCTGTGTGACTACAACATCCAGAAGGAGTCCACTCTGCACCTGGCCCTCCGCGTCAGAGGGAGCATGCAGATCTTCGTGAAGACCTTGACTGGTAAGACCATCACCCTGGAGGTGGAGCCCAGTGACACCATCGAGAATGTCAAGGTGAAGATCCAGGACAAAGATGGCATCCCCCCTGACCAGCAGAGGTTGATCTTTGCCGGGAGACAGCTGGAAGATGGGCACACCCTGTCTGACTACAACATCCAGAAGGAGTCCACTCTGCACTTGGTCCTGCTCTTGAGGGGAGGTGTCTAAGCTCCCCCTTTTAAGCTGTTGACAAAATTCATTGCACTTTTCTTTCAATAAAGTTGTTGCATTCTCCCCCCCCCCAAAAAAAAGGTCTTATGATTATGATGGTTATTCTGTTTGCCATAGCCCCCAGAACCAGACTCCTTTCTCTGTGTAGGGCCTCAGGAACTTGACCTCCATACAATGCATAGAGGCTGCTGAGGCTCTATGTTCCATAGAACATATATCTATCCCCTTTTTGGCTGTCCCCAGTGGTATTTAACCAGTGGGGCCCACTGGCCAGAGATCGGAAACTGGAGGAGAGATCGGGGTGTTTCTTGCCCTCTCTTTTACTGATTCAGGCCACATTTCCAGCAGTGGCTGGAGCCTCTGGGACTACAGTTCTTGTCCAGTAGCCTGTATCCCTCCACTTCAGAGTTCACTGGGGTGTTAACATAATGTCTTCTCCTTAACCCTTTAGGCCAAGGGTGATGAAGTTTTCTCACTTACGCTAATCTCTGGCTGCTTCAACAAACATTGTTGGTTGTTTTAATTCTGTTCAAACACTTTGTTAGAGTCTCTTTTAACAATTTTAGTTATGTTCTATCTCTAACCTACACCCTGATTGATTCAGAGTGTTTCTAGTCTGCTTACTGGCTTATGGTACAGCTTAGGCTAATATAAAGGCTAATATAAGCCTTCTCTGTACTTCTTTAACACCAAAATGCATTATTAATTTATCTCTTCGCTCCTAAAATGGAAGCAAATCTTAATGCAATTAATTTATTTATGACCTGAGGAGATATGAAAATAATTTATAACTTTTCCCCCCAAAAATCATGACATCTTTCTTGGGATAAGCGAAAATGTAGATGAAGCTTTTTCAAAATAATAAATCATAACTTTAGGATATATCTTTCAGAGATTAAATTATGCTTCCTAAATTACTTTTTTTCGGTGTTCAGTTATGACATATTTTCCAATTAAACATGATCAGTGAAGACTCCATATGCTGTATTACCCCTGTTGATGTTGATTCGTAGCAGGTCAGTTAATATTCATGCTTAAAAGGCTATATCAGTAATTATCTTTAATTTTAGGCTGTTAATAAGCTACAACGCATATCAGAACAGTACTTTTTTTTAAATTATGTAAGTGCGATTAGTGATCATTTGGAAACCACTCAGTACCTGTTACCTGATAAAATGTACTGAACTTGATTCTTAATCATTCAGATCAGGAAAGGAATTAGCACAGGCAGTCCTTGCTTTTCACGATAGTGTGGGACCGTAAACACAGACAAACTGAAATTGTACAAAGTGATCTTAATAACCAATGGGAAAATTATGAGTTTTCCATGATGTTTAAAGTTTTTTTTTCTAAAATATTAAAACCTCTTCCTATCAGTGATAAACGTATGGAGAAATGAAAACAAATAGTAAACTTAATATTTATTTAGGACACTATTGTAAAACATTAAAAACATTGAGAAAGTATTTTGTTTCATTGTAAACACCTTATTAATAGTAGTTTGGATAGTGCTTGCCTTCTTCCCATCATGTAATGTCTTTTCTGTGCCTTAGTGAACTGTCGTATTCCTTCCTAAGTCTGGATCAACTTCCAGTGTTTTATCTTTTGCATTTTCAAAGTCATGAAATACCTCCAAGAATCCCTTTAATGTGAAGTTTTCCGCTTCCTCCGGGACATCTTTCCCACCCCCCACCCCACTCCCCCTCTGGAACCTCTTCATCCTTTTTGTCATCCTTCTCATCCATTCCATTTATGTTGGCACATTCATCCTATTAAGCTCTGGCTGCATGTGCGGAGTCTCTTCCCATAGTCAGGTATTTCTCGTTACTTCTGTCTATTCATATTTCACAGAAAGCATTATCATTTTTCATTTTTTTACTGAAATTTCCTCTTTGTTGTCTAATTCCCTCTTTTGATTATTTGTTTTGCAAACTGCCATGGAGGTTTATCATGAGGAGGCAAGGAGGCAACACAACTGCACACTTTCCTGTCTGCATGTGAACAGAATAACAAAATCGGTGACAGACCCTGGAAGAAGCAGCATGTTTGGCCACTGACCATGATTTGCATCCATGATTTATGTGGTGATTTGTGAACTAAAGAGCCAGTAGCAAAGCATGTGCTTTATGCAGTCATTCACAGTTAATATGCTGTGGTAACTGAAATTCGAACCATGTCATTTGGAGGTAGGTGTTACATAACTAAACCATGGTAACTGAGACCAGTGCCTATTGGAACTTTGAAGAATGACTGCCTGGATCCGTTTGAATTTTGATAGAAGACTCTTTGTCATTATTTAACATTGTTTAAGTCCCTAATACCTACCAGACACAGTTTAGTACAAAAGTCACAATGATTTGTGATTTCAAAGAGAATTTGTTTTGTAATGAAAACTAATTAATATATTTTTCCTTCCTCAAACCACAGATTTTTAGCAGGCTATAGCTATTCCAACAAATATTATCAATACCAGAGCAAAACACGGGCCTCATTTCCTCAATCACTTGTTTTGGACATTAATATAAATTTTATGTGGAAACTAGATTTAAAAATTATAAGTAGTTTGGGATTTACTCTCCAAGCATACTTTATTCTCCTCCATAATAATAAACTCAGACTAAAATTGGAATTCTCAAGTCACTTGTGAGAATACAGAAAACAATGGATTTCTAAATTCTGAACGGAGTAGAGAAATTTAGTAAGTTGTGAAGTGAGAATCACATCACTCTAGATTGGAGTGAGCAGATTAGTTATTCTTTACTGGTTGGACATAAATTGTGAAAAATAAAAGTAGATTTCTAAATCAATTAAAGTATAAATGTATTATACTCTCAAACATAATTTAAAACCTAGAACAAGCAAAAAAATAACTAAATCAAGTATCAAAAACATTAAAATCCAGGAACAGATGTTGTAATGACATTTTACTTATTGGAGTAGGCCTATTACATTTTGTAGTTTCACACACTGCAGAGAGAAGTTGATTGCCTGAACCCTACTTCCGTTGCTGGTGGCTTGTGTTCATGTACTAAAAAGCCAGATGTTAATGAGAACATTTCTTCCTTCGTTTATTAATTCATTCACTTGCTCACTCATTCATTCATTTATTCATGTATTTATTCGTCCCTTCAGTAAATATTGCTAACGTTAATATTCCATGTGCTAAATACCGGGGATACAGTAATTTATTAAAAATCCACAATTCTTGCCCTTAATGGAGTGAATAGTCTAAAGAACAGGCAGACAGCTAGCAAGCAAATACACAGGAGTAAATATATAATTTCTAATTGAAGTGGGGGAAAGAAAGGAATGAAATGAGCTGAGAGAATAAAAGAGGGGAACTATTTTAAATAGGATATTCAGTAAGACGCCTCCGAGAAAGAGACATGCTGAAGCCTGAGGGAAGAATGAGGCCTGCCTTAACAGTAGGGTGAAGGACACCCGGTGCAAGGAGAACTAAGTAAAATTACTAAGGTGAGATTTCAGTGCATCTAAGAGTATGAAAGGCCAGTTGCCCAGAGGGTAATAAGTAAGAGGTAGACTGATATAATATAAGGGAAAGTGGGTCAGGAATCTGAACATTAAGAACTCTTGAAGTCACAGATTTAGCTCAGTTGGTTGAGCGACTGCCTTCAGCTCAGGTCATGGTCCTGCAGTCCCGGGATCCAGTCCCGCATCGGGCTCCCTGCTCGGCGGGGAGTCTGCTTCTCCCTCCAACCCTCTTCCCTCTCATGTGCTCTCTATCTCTCATTCTCTCTCTCTCAAATAAATAAAATCTTTAAAAAAAAAAGATTTAATTATATGATCAAAAGGAAGCCCTTGGAGGGGTCTCATAAAGAGAATTGTATGAACGGACATTTCAGTTACTAACTTGATGCTTTGTAGGGGTGATCAAGAAGTGTAACAGGCATGTCCATGGTGAGGAAAGAGGGGACAATGGGGCGGAGGGGGATATGAAGTTCACTTTGGCAAATGTTGAGTTCCACATGCCAGTGTGATTTTAGTAGGGAGAGCAGCAGTATTTATCATCATTGAATTCAAAACTGGTGACAGTGACCCTGTGCTGAGTTTCTGGGTAGAGCTTACATTCTCGCTAGAAAGGAGGATCCCTCAAGGTTTGGTTCTTCCTATTCATCTCTAGATGTGCATGGACCATCAAATGTAACATTTTCTTATTGTGCTGTACTAATTACAAGCTATTACTGACTTCTGTTTGTGACATCCCTCACCCTGATTTTTCGGCCTGTTCTTGTTTGTGTGCATGGATACGTGGCTCTTGGACTACAGTTCTTGCTTCCTGCGGCTGAATCACGTCACCCCATGGACTATATTGCTTTCCAGCCTAGTCTTCTTAAGTGTTCAATCTGTCAGTCTTGCCAAGCTGTGTCCTAAATGTTAGAATTCACTTCTTTTCCTGGATCCATTCAGAAGTCTCTGGGTAGGAAGTTCAGCTCTTGCCATTGAATGCTTGGGCGCATTTGATTAAACCCCTTTAGGAAAAATGTATAATAACTCTATCTACCTTTTTATAGGTCAGCCTCCATTTCTCTCTCTTTCTCTCTAAACTCTCCTTGATGATCCTACTTCTCTGTAGCTTTAAATAACACATAAATATAGATTTTTCAATTTGTTATCTCCAGCTGAGATAATTCTTCTAAGTGCCAGACTCATGCATCTCACTTGACATATCCTCATAAATGCCTCATAAGCATCTAAAACTTCACATATTTATATTTGATCTTGCTCTCCCTCCAGTCTCCCACTCAAAAAACCAACTTGTTCCCTCCTGAATTTTCTGTTTCAGAATATGACATCAACACAAGCTTAGATGTTCAGAAGTCAATTTTGACTCTTCCTCACCTTCAGAGCCATCTAAGAAAAATCTGAAAAATCTTTTGATAGCATCATCCGAAATGATCTAGAATTGGTCTTTTTCTCTCCTTCTCATACTGATGTCCTCATAATCTTCCATGGCATCTTACTTTCTCGCTGCAATAACTTACTAATTGATTAACCTGATTCCACAGTTGCTTCCCTCCACTATATGCCAAAGAAGAGAGT